TTGTCGGAGAAATGACCGAAGGCTGCCGGCCATGGCCGGAGGGCGGCCGCCTTCTTGGCCGCCTTCCAATAATCTCCGGCTATAAAAGCCCTCTTCCATCCCCAACTCAACACACCTCTTCCAACCCTAAATCAGTTCAAAACACCTTCTTTCTTCCTCCATTTTCGAGCTCCAAAGGTCTTAGAGAGAGAGAAACTTCAAATCTTCATATCTTCTTCATTTTAGCTCCAAATTGTAAGTTCTTTATATGTATTTTCATCTTCTCAACGAGTAGAATCTGAATCTGCACTTTGTTTGTTCAATCTGTTCTTCGAAAATTTCCAGATTATTTTTCAAGTAATTCGCATTTCCTTCCAAAAATTAAATAAAATAGTTATTGTTGTTGAATTCCTTCCAATTAATTATATAGTTGTTCACTAGCTTCAAGGTAGTTATTCATCTGAAGAAATTAATTTTTCACGAACCAGAAGTAATTTTTAATTAATTTTGGTAATTATTTGATATTAGTTCATAATTTAGAATAAATACTAGAAAAATAGGAAAAAAATGAGTTCGGCCCTATTTACAGTTTAGTTAACTTAAATATCATCACTAGTAGTTAATATAAAATTCGGTACGAATTTAGAGTATTTTTTTTATTAATTTCGGTAACTACGTTATATTATTGCTTAAGTCAAAATAAATACTAAAAAAGAAAAAAAAATTAGTTCGGCCTTAATTTCAGTTTGATTCATAGTAATATCACTCCCAGTAGCTAAAATAAAATTTATAACGAAGTTAGCTTATTTTTAGTTGCTTTTTGCATTTTCTAGTTAAAATTGGGAAAATTATCAATTAGTTGTCAAAAATTGGATTTTAGGTTCAAAAAATTGGTGAAAAATTCCAGAAGGTTATATTTTAGTTCCTACAAGTTTATTGTTCCAGAATATAATTTTTGTTTAATTTTTGCTATCATACATGTTTAATTCCTTGTTAATGTTGAATTTAATCATTATATTGTTAATTGCAAAAATGGTGATGAGTAGCTAAATTTGTTAGGGCATGAGTTGAGAAAAGGAATATGGATTGACTTGTTGACCTAAAATTAGGGGTTAAAATTAATAAATTGGACTAGTTGTTTGAAATGATGAAATAGTAATTAATAATAGTTAGCCATATTCATTAATTAAATTCTTGGAAAATTAATTCTAACTTGTCTATGAGATTAGAAATTAATTTAAGCCAACCATATTTGAGCACATTAATAAGGCCTAGAAATAGGATACTTTAATGAAACGGATTTACATCTTGTCTATGAGAAATAAATTCAATTGCTAAAATAAAGAGTTTAACTAGTTAATGAATTTGGCTATTTTTATTAATTAAAATATTGGAAAATTATTTCTACCTTGTCTATGGGTTTAGAAAATAATTTAAGCCAACCATTTTAAACACATTAATGACACCTAGAAATAGGATAAATTAATGAAGATAGTTTCTATTCTTGTCTATGAGGAAGGAAATTATTAGTCCAATTTTAGTTTTAATTTCCCTAATTAAGAGGTCCAAGAACATATCCATTTCTAATTACTCAATTCATTGCCCTTATTTGCATCCTTGAATATTCAATATTTATACATTAATCTTTAGATTGCACCTTGCTCCTAGTTATAATTTAGCGTAATATAGAACAAAATCATTTTCCTATATTGAAAAAGCTTCCAACAATTAGCGATAGCCCGTGACTAAAATTAAATTAAGAAACTTCTCCGCCATTCCTCAAGAGACACGACACTCGGGGAAAAACCGAAAGGTTAGACTCCGTTTTACTACAACGCCGCGAAAGCGGTTATCAATGCCATCAATCTCAGAAAGCACTATTATAAAGCTCGGAAGTGAAGAGTAGAAGAAGCAAGAACATCTGATCACAAAGAGGGAGATTGTTAGAGATATTTTCATTATATTATGATCAATGTTACTTAGCCTTTCTGTAATAGTTTATTTATCATAGAATAGTAGGCCTTATTGTAGTAAAGGCATGCTTGCCTAAAATGGAATGGGCCTCCTAAATGTTGGAGCCCAATCATTTGTTAACCTACCATTCTCCAAGGCTATAAATATGCCCCTTAGGAGAATGAGTAGGTTAAGTTTTCCCAGGTACTCTCATACCCTAGAGCCGCAGTGCTATTTCGGTGATAGAAGTTTTTACGCTACCTTTCATATCATTCTGTAAAACTTCATCTCATTCAATGGAAAGCTTCTTCTATTCATACTGATCAAATCTCATACATTATAGAATAGAAAATAGGGACCTAACAAATTCGACCCGGAAGCACCTCAAATGAAAGAGGCCTAAGAATTACAATTCTTAGGCCTACCTTAGCATTACCCTGGATATGGATATGGATATGGATATGGATATGGATATGGATATGGATATGGATATGGATATGGATATGGATGGATATGGATATGGATACCCTTTAAGGGTAAAAGGACCTGCTAGTCACTGTAAAAAATGGGAAGGACAGAGGCATTTATTGGGTTGTACACAAACAGTGTACTGTACCTCCAAATGATGATGTATGGGGTAAATACAGATGTAATTACGACAAGAATCAGATCAAATGTGATTAGGCTAAAACCGTTAGCATAATGATGGTGGATGGGGTAAACTCATACTTAGAACTATAAAACCGTTAAAATCTGAACTGAATTATCCAGTTTGGTTCCTATTATTTTGGACTTCTATGTTTTTCGGCTTGGTTCCAGTTTCAATATATTCTAAATTGTAGGCTCGTTCTATAAGTTGAGGACGTCACCTCTTTCACTAAATTGTTGTTCCCTGACAACTATTGAAATCAGTACAGATCGGACTTGTTTCGCTATTATTGATAAAATCAAAAATATTACTTCTTTGTCATTCCACGAATAGACCAATTTTTAGGAAAAACACAATATCTAACACGTTGTGAATTCAAAGAAGCATGTCATTTTAATCCAATGAATAAGTACTACTCTAGGGGGTAGACCGTAGGCCCGGTCCGGCAGTCCGACAATATTTGGGACCAAAAAAATTCCAGTGCGAGCCCTAGACCGACCCAAGTCTACCCAAACATGTTACATGGTCCCGATCCAGTCATTTGGGGACCGAACTGGGCAGTTCTGGTCCCGATTTCAATCCCGGACCGGCTAATATTTTATTTGAATCGAAAACAGAGGAGAACGAAAAAGATAAATAGAACATGACCACGACCAAACCATCTGATTACCCAGGGTCCCAGACCCACATTTAATAAAGTCTGACCTAAGCTTCACCAACCAAGGATCGAGACCAGCCTATCCGAGACCGAACCCGAACCGGGACCAATCCACCCCTATATTAAATCGAATTGACAATTTTTTTGAATTGAACACTACCCCCAAATAAGCTTAATACTCCCTTAAGTGGACAATTAGTCATGGACCCGGGCCGGGCCGGTTCCGGGCCGGGCCCGGTTGGGCTTTTTTTTGGGAAGGAAGGCCCGGGACCGGCCCGGGTAGCCACCGGGTCCGGGCCTCCGGTTTGGTCATTTTTTTTGTTTTTGTTTTTTTGCTTTCCTAACCCCCCTCACCCCCCCCCCCCCCCCCTCACCGCCCTCACCCCCAAACCCCTCCTAACCATCAAGCCCAACACGGGTAACCCCAAAAAAGCAAAAAAAAAAAATAAAAAATAAAAAATAATAATAATAATAATAATAATAATTCGGCCCGGGCCCGACCCGGCCGGGTCGGTTCGCCAAATACAAGGCCCGAGCCCGGACCCCCCCCCACCCCCCATCGAGCCTAGGCCCGACCCGAACCCGAGAACCGGGCTAGTTCCGGGCCCGCACAGTAGCGGGCCGGGCCCGGGCGGCCCGAACCGGGTCCATGCCTATTGACAATGTTATTCATCACAATTTCTCATGCAACTAAGTTGTCTTTACACATCAATTAATAATAGGCTAAAAGGTCAAATAGGCCCTTGAACTGATTTAAAGTGTTCAATTAGCCCCTCGTGTAGGAGGTTCTGCCCGACCATCTCTAATTGCGGCGGTTCCTGATGGAATTTTTTGATGAAATTTTTTTAACATATTCTTCGTTAAGTCTAGTTTACTCATACCAAATTTCAACTAAAAATTCAACCGGGAAGGCAGTCAAATGATTTTCCGAAATGTATTGCACTGTTTAACTTCACAGTTATCTTCAAAAAATCATTTGACTGTCTTCCCGGTTGAATTTTAATTTGAAATTTAGTATGAGTAAACTAGATGTAATGAAGATATTCAAAAAAATTCATAAAAAAATTCCATCGGGAACCGCCCCAATTGCCGACGGCCAGACAGAACCTTCTATATAAGGGGCTAATTGAACACTTTAAGTCACTTCAAAAGCCTATTTGACCCTTTAGCCTTAATAATATGACATGCACAGACACTGATGCAAAATCAACCAATCAAAGTCAAAATCGTACATAATCATTATGTAAGTATAAAACTTATTGTTAGTTGCATTATCACAACCAACACGCCCAACATCAATCAATCAAATTAAATTCATTTAAAAGTTATTCCACAATAATATAAATATTATCACCCGCTATGTTTTTCATTAAATTTTCAAAAGCATCAACTATTTTATGCATTTGCCAATTTCCATAAATAAACGGCACAATCCTGTACCCCTTCTAAACAACTATAGTGCTATACTAGCCATTCCGAAGGCTGGTTACCTCCCAGTCCCACACTCCCACCCCTAACCCCAAAATTAAAAGAAAAAAGGCCATTGGAACCGAAGCCAGAACCACTTGATCCAGTCCCAAAATATACAAGACGGGTACCAGTTTTTACCCCGAAGTCCCGAACCGGAAAAATGGACCCCGTTCTGGCATGAACAGTACCAACCCCGGATCGTCCCAATTCCCAACATTAGAACTGTAGCCACCTGTAGCCATCATTTTCAGAAAATCTGATGGGGGCTTCAAAATGTAGGATTGTAGGAATAAACAGGACAGTATTAATAACATTGCTCTTATTAATTCCAACACAACGAATTTTACCGAATCTGATTGTTTTTTTGGGGGTGGGGGCGGAACTACACTGAACAATACACAACATTAGGTATAGTTAGTAGCCTGCGAAGTTTCTAACTGGCATTAATTAATTGAGATACAGAAAATCCATTTACAAAAGAGATGAATGCCAAGCGCAAAAATGAAAGCCCCCCCCCCCCCCCCCCCCCCCGATCTAAACCCCCTCACTGTACACAGATACACACACTAATCTGTGTGTGCGTGTTATCCTACTTCCCCTTTGGCCTTTTCCAATAATTTCAACTCAAGCAGCAATCGACCATACACCTTCTGTGTTTCTCTTAAATGCTTCCTTAGCAGATTTACCTGGAAGAATACAAAGTTGTTCACCGCTTCTTTATCGAATAAAACTACTTTGACAAATGAAATAAACAAAAAACAAATGCCTTCCGCTCACCTTGGCATTAAGCTCTTCCACAATTTTCTCATGATCCAAACACCTGTATTATTCATTAACAGAATCACATTTCACATCCAATCTCTTCAAGAAGAGTAGAGTTCTGGACTTAGCATTATGCCAAAAAACATATTTATACGAAGGGTTTTCCCTTTTTACGTATTTTATCAAACCTGGTATTTTAAAAAATAAGAACAAGAATACAAGACCTCTCTTCTTACGATTAGAAACACTTTAATTTTCTTTTCCTATGATGAAAAGTAGTTATTTTTTCAATTCAAAAATTTATGTATTTTTTTCATATCCTTGCCAAACGCTACTCTTTGAAATATAAGTATTTCTCATTTTAGGAAAAACAGTGATTGCTTGGTGTAGTAGTATATCAAACACCGCTAGCAGAGGCCAAGGTTAATCCACATTGATGAGCACGTAGGATCAAATTAACTGATTGGGACTTACTGAGCACGTAGTTTTTTGTTTTCGGCCTCTTCACTTCCCAAGTAACTAGCACCACCGGCAGGCAATTGCTACAGAAAAAATTGATGCGAAATTAATAATGCTATATAAATATACGGAAAAAACAAATGTGTCATGAACACAGAAAATAGGAAATATAAATAACTAGAAATAAGATGAAGGCTCCAAGTTTCTATAAAATGATCTGTAATACACAGCCACCCCCCTTTTGGGGGGTCAGCAACCCAAGCTGATTGATAACAAGAAATATCACTCAGGCTTGATAATTTTAAAACCAGTCCCTACTACAAACAAATTTTCCAGGTTATATCTCTCTAATTTTCAAAAGTTTGATTTATATAATTTTTTATAAATAATTTCACAAGAATGATTATCAAGCATCTTAGCGAACGCGGCGTATCAAGCATCTAAGGGTTAACTATTTTTTAAGAGGCTCCTAACTGGATTAAACACCAGCTCTAGGAGGATGAGAATGGGTTAGAAACCATCACATTTTAATTATTTTGTTGGCTTTTTCCGTTCCGATGTATCCAAAAAAAATCGCAAATATGCTCCCTATATTTTTGTATTTGCATGTCTCCCGCGTAAAAAATAGTGCAGTATCCATGTTCCCAGTTTATATTTGCTACCTAAACAGAAGCGCTAGATGAATATGTGTAGTTTCTGAACATGATCATCTATTTTAATGAAGGTACAGTAGAGAAGATACATGCTGTTGCAGTTTGACTGCGCTTGGCATTAGTCAATAATCAATATTGATGCTTACCCTGGCCTCCTTTTGCTTCACATTTTCAGGTTCATTTGGGTGATCGCGGTCCTTCCTTTTAGTAGGTATTAGTGGCACTAGTAAGAAAGATAAAAAACATACGAAAAAAGCTCAGCAAGCTTACAATACAATTTCCCTAGCATAAGAAAATATGACCTCCAAAAGAGCTCAGCAAGCTTCCAATACAACTTTTCAGTTATGATAGGCAGAACCGTCTTAAATCATGAATCATAGATACCTTTTTTCAAAATTATTTGTTGGTTTGACTAAACTTATGAGTTATGACAAGCAACTCTAATGTAACTAATATTTATGGCAAACCCCATAAAATTATAGCTTCATTTGGTGAGAGTGTGAGATTGACTCTTTTTTTTGGCAAAAAGAGCATTTGAAATAGGACCTTTCTTTGAGATGGAAGGAGTACATAATAAGATTAAAAATATCAAGGGAACTTGTATAAATTCATTCACACCTTGTTGAAAGTTATGATGAAAAGTTCTTTGCAGATTGTCAGGCCTTGATGACACTTTTGCACCAGCTAGACTAGAAGAGTTTTTAGTCATTAACACGGCCTGATATGTACCATGCTTCTGATGAAATTCAGGTGTAACCTGGGGCGGCTTTGGTGCTTGAATTTTCTTCTTTGGTCTCATGTAACCAATAAGTCCACAATGATAATCCCTATTATAAGCAAAAGTATTATCAATAAGTCAAGAATGGGGGGGGTATAAAAGGCATTAGACTGCAGAGCAAATAAATGTAATTTGGAAAAATTTGCAATTTGACATATTTTAATATTGAAAGATATATTCACCAGTACTCTAACGTCATTTCCCTTAATCGTGCTTCAAGCTTTTGGAAAAGGGGAGTTTTCTCGAAGTCTTGTTTATTATGTGTTGGCTGAATGAAGTTGGCCTCCAGAACACCTGAAGGACACTAAAATTCTTTAGAGCCTGACTTTTGTTAAGGTTTGAATAGACAGACCCATTCAAATATTTGGAAAAGAACTGCTTGAAGGCTACATACCCACAACCCCTCTGCCTCTACTGCCAGAATAGCTGACAACATGCCAAAATGGCTTCAAAAAAGAGTTATGAGAAAAAGCTGCATTAAGATTACTTTTTCAGAAAAAAAAAACTGCATTAAGATAATCAATTAGAAATTAAGACAAGGAGCTCAATTTCAAAAACAAAAGAAAACCTAAAACGTACAAGTTTGTCCTAATTCTGATTTAAAGGTTTGAAATTTTGAATGAAGTTAAATTAAACACTCCCCTAATAATATTAAACATAAAAATTTACATAGTTGTAACTTATAAGCTACAATAAAAGTTCTATTGAACTGAAAATAAATGAATTTCATCGTAATAAAGTTTTGTACACACAGAATAAAAAGGAATTACACTGACTACATGAATAGTGAAATAACAAAAAATATAGGGATGCATGGAGTGTAAAGTTGATGACCTGTAGATAGAAAAGTTGTTATGAAGAGACTGAAAACCTAAAAAAGAAACTTGCTTATGAGTTTGAGGTCAAAGACTTGGGAGGATTGAAGTACTTTCTTGGAATGGAGGCAGCTAGATTTTTTTTTTCGGGAGATGCAACACGAGGTAGCTAGATCAAAGAAAGGAAATGTTGTCTCACAAAGGAAGTATGTTTCAGACCAGCAGATACTCCAATTGACCCTAATCAGTAGTTGGGAGATGTCAAAGATGGAGTCCTAGTCAATATTCAGCAATATCAAAGATTGGTGGGAAAATTGATCTATTTGGCTCATACAAGGCCAGATATTGCATTTGCAGTCAGTTTATGCACCATCCATTTCAGGAACATCTTGATGCTACTTACAGGATTCTCAGGTACGTAAAAGGATTCTCAGGTACATTAGAGGCTGTCCAGGGAAAGGATTATTCTTCAAAAAAGGCAACAACGGTTGAGGCCTTTACAGATGCAGACTATGTTGGTTCAATTATTAATAGAAGCTCTACATGATCTTCTAAACATATTGAAATGGACAGACACTTCATTAAAGAAAAGATTGAAGCTGGAATTGTGTGCACACCATTTATATCTACCAAAGATCAAACAACTGATATTTTAATTAATGGACTGTTTAAACCAGTGTTTGAACTGCTTATAAGCAAGTTGGGGATGTAAGATATATACTCACCAACTTGAGGGGAGTGTAGAAAATGTGACAGTGTACATGTGTAGTCGTGTATGTAAGTTTTGGAGTAATTAGCTGTCACTAATTGTTAATTATTAGATAAGCTTTAGTTAGCTAGATCCTATTTTATAGGATCTCCACACGGAAGTTGTTACTTGTGAATACTATATATGTACTGGCTGGATGGCTCAATGAATACAAGGAAAATTTATTCCCAAAACTTGCAACTCAGGATATCAGAAAGGTTAAGTGTGTGAAGAATGTCGATCAAAGGGTGCCAATGAAATACGATAAATAAAAGAGAGGTAGAGGTCATACTTTAATACTTTGTTCAAAGAGAATAAAGCACAAGATATTGGTGATCAAAGTATCAAACTATACCAAATTGTAAGGTAAACCAAGATTTTGTGAGAAGAATCCAAACGAAAGAAGTTAAAGAAGTTATGACCCTAGTTAGCTTTTTTGCGTTTTAAACACTTACCGTTTTTTTGAAAAAAAAAAACGTTTAAAACAAAAAATAATGTCGGTCCGTTTAAAAGGGAAAAAACTCCAAGTTCCTGTACAAAACGTATTTTTCCCGTGTTTTACAAAAAATAGAAAATGAATCGATCAATTGAATGAATGCATTAAATGCATAGGAGATCAACAATAGTTTAAAAGCAAAAGGGAAACCCTCCTCCCCGTGACCCCGTGTTTTTATATTGTTACTATACAATTATTAAATATTAAAACTAATTGCATGGCAACTAAAGCTCATCCTAAAAGACTAACACTTAAAATACTACTAGATTTCTGATTTTTTCAAACAAGCATATCAAAATTAAAGTTTTTCTAAACCTGACATTTTTTAATATAAACTTTTACACATGAACAATAATGAGCTTAGCAGTTGTACAACTTTTCTCATATGTCATCCGTCATTTTGATGAAAATGATGAGTTTAAATTGAGTGTTATTGGATGATCATATAAAGATGATGATTTAAACTTAGTCTCATTTTATTGTTATTATGTCTTATTTTTTGACATTATTTTGCAAAATCATGTCTTGGTCTTAAAATCTATTTATATTTTTGTCATCGACTTATGCAATTACAAATTTTTCTTTTAATTAGTAATAGAATTTGCTACTTGGATATGTCTATACTTTTATTTCTTTTTACTATATATGTTATTCTGTCAAGTACTCCGTATATAATTTAAATGTCCAAAATAATACCCTGTATTTTTGTCCGAATTTTTGTAACTGATACCGTGTTATACATGTATACGTATTTACACGTTTTTTTAAAAGTCAACATTTACTTCAATGAATTTTTGACCGTTTTTTCATTAATGTTACCGAATAAAACATGTACATATTATACCTCGTACAATTCCCGTACCGTATTTAACTAACTAGGACTATGAGAAAGATGGGGCAGAAGAAAACGGTGGGTCCACATTGCATGCCGATCAAGGCTTGGAGGAGTTTGGGAGAGAGATACGTGGAGTGGTTAACACGTTTCTTCAACAAGTTGGTGGAAGAGTACTTAGGGAGAGAGAAATAAGGTAAAGCACATATTTTGTTTGTTAAAATGAAATGGGCAATAACTTTAGGATGGATGAAAAGGAAAGTACATAGATAATTTAGAAGTTACTATATATAACCACTCCCATTACCACTGTGACCTTGACAAATTTGAACCAAGTGGCCCCTAAACAATATTTAAGGCAAACACTAAGTTTACACTTCAAATTGTGTATTTAATGCAAAAAACATTAATTGTAGTGTCATAAGTTCTGGTGTGTCATCTGAAATCTAACCAAATTACGATTCTAGTCAAACTAAATAGTCTCATTTGTCAGCATGTCACATGATGAGAAATCACGATAAGAAATCAGCAAAATTGTAAGCATATGCCACGTAAGGAGTAACCGGCCTTGTTTTATTGTGGTTAAATCTTTTCTACTAATCAAACAATGTGATTGCTTGACCTACTAATTTGAATAACTAGATAACATTAATCTCTGAAAAAGACGACGACTAGGCCGGGACGTCAAATAAGACTAATCCAAACATCCAATAACAAATGGTGTCGGAATCAAGTGAAAATAAATCAATCAAATCAGGCAAAACTGAAAAAGTAAAACCATAGATGTTAAATCTTCTACTTGTATTTACACTCATATCACAGCTGATGTGGCAAGTGACTCCAAATTCCCCTGACCATGTACCAACATATGTGCTAATAAAACTTATGTTTGAAGAAAATTGAAATTCAGCTAGACTTTTATCAAATTTGAAATTAACGGTTTCATTAACCATTTCTTTAAGAATTGGCCAGATTCCAAGTTTCAAAATCAGCCAAAGGTTTTGCTTTAGTAATTAGGCACTGTATTTATTCATATATTTATATACATATGAATGTATATATTATTCAGCCAAAGGTTTCATATTATATATAAGTTATAATGATATAGAGTATATAGTCATATATATAAATTAAACTATGCAAAATATTTATATCATACGTAGTACTATCCTCCGTATCGCATTAGTTGCAACATTGCAAATTACACACTGTTCATGTACTCTACTTTGACTACATTTTACTTATTAATGTATGTGATTTTTTTTAAAAAAATATTGTTGAATTTGTCTCATTAAAAAGTTTCATAATCTGATTTTTAATTAATTTTTACTAATATAGAATTAAATATAATGACGGTCAAAGTTGTGTGTTGGCAAACGTGAAAAAGTAAATGTTGCAACTAAAAAAGAATAGAGGAAGTATATATTAGTATGTACTACTACCTCGGTCTCTGAATTTACTTCCAAAATAAAATGGCACGCAGATTAAGAAAATGGGAATTGTGTGGTGGAGAGTTGTGCACAGGAGAGAGAAATGTTGTGAACCACAAATTCTTTGCCAAAAAGGGAAAGTGAAGTTCTATTTGGGACGAACGAAAAGAGAAAGTTGGAAGTATTTTCAGGGACGGAGGGAGTAGTTTTTATGATTATTTTAATAGTTTATTATTTTATAATTTATAATAAAATACAAGTCTCACAGGCTGGGAATAATATACTTCGTATATAAGTATATAACTACACCCTTTCAATATATACACACACACACATACAACTTAATTACTTAAAATAAGAAAAAAATGAAGCCAAGAAGAAGAGAACGGGGACTGGGAACTGGGAAGTCGTCTGCTACTCTGCTTCCGTAAGCGAGGGACTGAAGGAGGGCGATACCTGCAATTTCGTCTTCTTCGTGGAGTTGCTCGTCTGCTTCCTGCGAGTTCGTCTTCCGCGAGCGAGGGACTAGGTTTGCCTATACGACTTTGGGCAACAAATCGTCAGTAAGGTAGATTACTATGGGCTGGCGCCTAAATCTATTTTTATTTGGGTTCTGGGCCTGCGCCATAGCGGTCCGACTTTCCAAAAAGGGGGGGCCTTCATCGCCAAAATAGCGCCTGGACGACGCCGTTCACGACTACTCTTCATCTGAAGCTGGCGAGGCGAGTGAAGCTGGCGGGCAGTCCGTAGCGCCAGGACGCCTAGGTGACACCGTGACAAGCATGCTAGTCTCTCTTTCTTACTTTTTTCATCATCTCTCTCCTCCTATTCACAACCGCTACTATTTCCATCTTATTTACTATGAAAACCCTATAGGGACAACAAATAAAATAATTAACTTGCAAGCAGAGCATCCCTAGAATGATCACAAAAATATAATTTAATCTCACTATACCTTCGTAAGAAGGTTATAAAAGAAAGGGCATCCCTCTAAAAACATTGCAGCTGCGCGTTTTTGCATCAGTTCATATTATGAACTAATTTAATTTTAACTTATTTTTAACAATCCAATAAGATTCAGATTGAGGTGATTGTGATGATGGAAAATTGGCTAAATTACTACCAAGAATATAAATAGTACCAAAATGAAATATTCTTTAGTAAAGCAAAGATGCTCACCAGTATTAAACGGTTTTTGTGATAGACGTTGAAACCGTGGTGATTCACCAATGGGGCCTCTTTTAGGAACCCAATAGTCGTAATGATTTCACCCTACAAAAGGATGTATCACCATTAAACTTACAGGATAGAAAATTCCCAAAGAATTTTTTGGAAAGGATTAGCTGTGTAAGGCAAGTTGTATGCTCCTGACTTATATAGCAGAGATTCTATAAACCGAAAATCATTCACTGCATATGAACAACAAAATTGATGTTTGCAAATTTGGTGTTGGTCCTAGCCCATCATGTTGGTATGTCATATTCCAATATAGACAGATACCTCTCAGAATATTCATAATGATTAAGTTACTATCAATAGTATCAATATATTCTTTATAATTATTTTACTCCAGCACACCTGACGGTAGTGGCAAATTTCCACGTGCCAGGCATTTCAATCCCTCAATTTCAACACCAATGCAATGGCATACAACAACATCCAAGCCTTAATCCCAAAAGGATTTAGGGTCGGCTAACATGAATCAACATACAACATACCAATGTAATAGCATATCAAATATAAAACAGAGCAAGTCCCTACCTCACAAACTCCACCACTTGATGGTTTATACAAGATACATTGCCGATATTTGAGTTCACTAGCAATATTATGATACTCAACTAAGCTCCCACGCAACACAATACAAAAGTTTTCAGGAACTCGCAAGTACAAAATGGATAGGTATGCCTGTTCATCATGTAATAAAAAAAAAATTAGATACCAACGTTCTTGCACAGGCCATGGAGTATGGTTGCATGGCACTAAACATGCTTACACGCATTGAAAAACGGAGACGGTTGGCAAGATGCTCATCATTTACAGATGCACGAGGACCCTTCTCCATATTACTTGTATAATTACAAATACGAATGTCCTGCGAAGAATGCAACAAAGAAGTAACACAACTTAAAGCAACTTTGCAACAAGTTTAAGAAGTCTTGAGTAATAGGGTCCAGAAAAACCAACCTCAGGATCAGAGTTGAAGTCGAGCTCTGTTTTCCCTTCATCATTCAACCATAAATTGTAAATAATGATCTTTGTGCCATGATCACCAATGTCAACAAACTATCCATTGGAAGACGAGAAATTGCCAGGAAAAACGCATTAATAGTTCTTACAGCTGGAAATGCAGCATCACAACAATAACAAAAGTAATTCTCAGGCATCAGGATATATTAATGTTTCCCTTTCCCTTTTTGCGTGAATACGGAAGACCAAAATCATGGGTACCACTAGTTAAAAGGTATTGTTTTAGATGAATCGGATACGTTCATACAAATTCAATAACATTCTAAGTATACTAGGTAATTTACATGACAAATGACACAATAGGAAATAAATTTAACAGTCCAGAGAACAATAACAAAGGTTAGACATACCTGACACAGAAGATCCTCCTCTGTTGAAAATGGTGACCACTTCAATAGCAGAGAAAGATTTGTTGCAAAATGTTGTTCAGTGTGTATTGAATTCCATGTGCCATCTGTTGAATTGAACTCATAGTCAATCTGCACCATTAACCAAAAATGAGTGTTTGGAGCAAATCTTAAGACAAGATGTGAATATATAAAATGAAGTCAGGCAAAATGAGTACTGGGAGTGTATCTTAAGACAAGATGAGAATAAAAAATAATGAAATAAAGCAAAATTAGAATTTCTTACATGGATTAGACACTACCCAACTTCAACTTAAGTGCTTGTTTGCTAGGACTTTATTTACCTCAAGAGGTCATTCAAAAGGCCAAAAATAATACTCCCTCCGTCCCTCAAAACTTTGCCAAGTTTGACCGGCACGGAAATTTATAAAGTAAAAATTGTGTGGTTGAAGTTTGTGTAGAGGAGAGAGAATTAACTGGAACCACAAATTCTTTACTTAAAAGGGAAAGTGGCAAAGTTAGTGGGACATTCAACAAAGGAAAGTTGGCAAAGTTATAAGGGACGGAGGGAGTAGTTAACGTTCAGACTTCAGATTACATAAGAGGTAGTTTGCCTCTAATGAGAACTCATCTTGAAAATTGGTAACCTAATCCTAACTACATATGGCCTTGGTCCAAACATATGCCACCTCCATCCCGTCTTAAACTTCTCATTGGAAAATGGTAATTAAATAAGGTTATTCGAGTATATTTTGAGAAGTAATTGTGATGGGTATATAATATAATGAGGTCATTGATGATAATTGTGATGTTATAGGTGTATTATTTTTAATATGTGTGTAATTAATAATAGAGATTAAAGATGCAATGAAATCACTGTCTGTTATTCATTGGGTATAGCCGATATAAATACATACAAGCTAGAGAATACAAAAGGAAACTAAATCTGCCAGATTTACAGAGAATATCTAGTCTATCGCAGAGAATATATTAGCTACCATTTAAGTTTAAAAAAGCACGCCTAAAGGCGCGAGGCGCAGCTAGGCGATGGGTTTCTCGCATCTGTTAGTCCCAGGCGCAGTAGATACCCAATGGCGCGCCCCATCCGTCGCTTTTTGACGCTTTCTGCGCTTCTGTTATGCGGCCGTCTCTGGCGCCTCTAGGATGAGTATCGACTTGTCCCTGCGAGACCTTTGGCGATTCTCTCTTTGCCTTTCCCTATTCTTCCGCTCCTCTCTCCTAGGCCCTAGCATCGTAAAGTCGCAGGTTTGTTTGAAGGAGTCGCAGGTTTCCTTTACTCTTTCTCTCTTTTGTTTCCTTTACCCTTTCTTTTCTTTTTATTTTAAAATTTTAAAATTTATCAAACAGTTTCAATTATTTAAATATTACTAGTAACACTTTAGCAATCTGCCCTAAACCCTACACTAAATCAGATTGTTTATCAATGTTAAATAGTAATAACAATAATAATAATAATAATAATAATAATAAAGAGGGTTTCTACAATTAGATTGTTTAAGTTTTTACTTTTAATAATTATAGTTTATTAAAAATTTATCATAACTTTTAAAAAAATTACTATTAAATGTTTAGAAATTAGTATTGACTGTTTATTTCTTTTAAATTATTAAAATATTACTCTAAACTTGGTTTTAGTTTATAGTTTATTATGTAACAGTTATATTAGAAAATATTATTTTTTGGCAGAGACAGTATTATTATTATAAAAAGCTTCTTATATAACAATTTATTAAATAATTATTTTGTTAATTGTTAAATTTATTATTAAGAGTTTATTATGACAGTTTGTAAATATTAACACTTGATTATATAATGGTTTTATTAAAAATTACTATTAAGTGTTGATGAGTACACTACTTTGCTTGTGAGTTTGCTACTTTGCTTTTTAATTACATTATGAATAGACAATTAACATATTTGTTGTTACTGTTTGAATAAAAAAAAAATGTGATTGATTTTGGTGTTAATTAAGCTTGTTTCATGGCTTGAGGTATTTTAGTGAAGTTGTCATTTTTTGGGGAGAGGCCTTCATGAAGTATAAATATAATTTACCAAAGTTATTTTTTTTAGTTCCGTGAGGCGCACGCCTCACCACCTAGCGCCTCGCGCCTCGCGCCTCGGGTAAATCAATGAAAGCGCCTCAAGCTGCCTCACTCCTTTTAAAACTAAGCCTACCATATATATACACATAGAATATGTTGACTATTAAATATGTATATTCTAACTGTGATTATTAAGTTGTCATTTAAAAGTGCTGACGGCTAATTATTTCCTGGAGTAGAAATAGGGAGCTCTAGCTACGAGTCCTAGGACGTCCAAAGGAGGCAAGTCACATGTGAGAGGCGTAAGCTAGGGCGGGGGAGGTTCATTCCTGGATTATGTTTAAATATGCCTTTGTATATTTATTAATACAAACCTCAATGGGATTAAGTTTTGTCTAGCCATATGAGTATATCTCAATGCAATTAAATTTTTGTCTTGTTACATGCTTATCTGAGTTGGGGTAATGATGATGATGACATGCTTAAGAGATGTAACTCTCCTCGGAGTTACCAGCGAGTTTGATTTGCTTTCCTCCCACATGAATAGTCGATTGTGGCCTTTTTCTCCCGTTACCTTCTTTCTTCCCTGATGCACACCCAGTGGTTGGTTGACAGACTACCATTAAGCTTCAGTACCAGCTGTAACCTGTTCTCAAGGCTCCACCCACGCACCCCTGGAAGTGTCGCCCATAGTCACATAATTTGCGGAACGGTTCGGTACGGGAACGAGGATCTGGAACGCGGTTTGCTAGGTCTAGCGAATCCGGTTCGGAGGGGGGTAGGTTCATTTTAGTACGCATTCGGTACGTTGTACACTTGTACCTTGTGTTTTGGTATAATAAAATAGATTTACAGAATTCATTATATTAAACAAAAACAGATTTCATAACATTACACAAAATAAAAAACATTAATACTCCCTCCGTCCCAATATAAAAGGCACATTTGCGTTTGGGGACTTTTTAAGGGTGAACACTGTTTGGCACTGTTTAGACACTGTTTGGCACTGTTTGGACACTGTTTGGCACTGTTTTGTTTGCCAAAAAGGGAAATGTGCCTTTTATATTGGGACGGACCGAAAAGGAAAGTGTGCCTTTTATATTGGGACAGAGGGAGTATTATAGAACTTTTGACTCAAAACTGAAAACAAAGAATTACTAAATAAAAGTTAAAAAACGAGAATGGGATAAGGGTCAGATAGGGCCTCGAACTTGAAAAAAAATGTCAAATAAGGCCATATTTAGGATGCTCTGTCCGGCCGACGCCATTTGGGGTGGTTCCCGGTGGAATTTTTTGATGAAATTTTTTGAGAATCTTATTCATTAAGTCTAGTTTACTCATATCAAATTTGAACTAACAATTCAATCGGGAAGGCATTCAAATGAATTCATGAAGATAACTGCGCTTTTAACGGTACAGTTATCTTCAAGAATTCATTTGAATGTCTTCCCGATTAAAGTTTTAGTTCAAATTTGATATGAGTAAACTAGACTTAATGAATAAGATTCTCAAAAAATTTCATCAAAAAATTCTACCCGGAACCACCCCAAATGGCGTCGGCCGGACAGAGCATCCTAAATATGGCCTTATTTGACATTTTTTTTCAAGTTCGAGACCCTATCTGACCCTTATCTCAACGAGAATAGGGGTTCAAAACGGTACAATTTTCACCCCATTAAATAGGAGACACTGGAAGAGTAGGTGTGGTCAGAATACGAAGAGCCCTGGAGCAGAAAACTAAGAGTTGGTTCGAGTCTGTAGGAATGTTTGAACTCAAACGTTGCGGGTCATCGCATCTGCACGCGGAAAGGAAATGACGAGGCTTGATAGCGTTTGGTGCGTCTGCGACCAAAATCAAAAGCGATTGCAAACAAACTGGATAGGGGTTGCGAACGAACTGGAGAGTGTTTGCGAACGAATTCAATAGCGACTGGGAACGATCTGGGAAGCGTATTCGCCGGCGATCCTGGAAGCCTTTGGAACGCTTTCGTACCACCATTGGGTACGGAACATTCGGAACGCAGATCGTGGGCTCTTGAGCGATTTATGGAACTATGGTGTCACCAATCGCTATGTGGCATTTACAGTCCATGATGTCTTCCACTTTTTTCCATTCCAACCTCATTTCTGAGGGTCTGCTTATCCCACTATACCCTCTCCCTGTGGCAACCATATTTGGAAAGTTTGGTCACCGCAAACCACCCCACAAGTCATTGTTTACACATGAAGCCACCACACACTCTCTGACCAAGTGACCAGACTGAAAACTATTTGCTGCATTCATTAAAAATGTACTGTCCAATCCAACCTAGAATTCTATAAACTTGTCAAAAGTGCGAACAAGATATATATCGTGGGAAGCCTCTGTATAACGTGGTCCAAAGTCACTGTGTGTATTATAGTCTGACTATAAAGGTGAGCGATAAATATCACAGAAAAAAAACAGATACAGGCGTCTCATGCTGTTGGGTTTCAAGGGCATCCAGCAAAAACTTTATCACATATGAGGTCAAATTTTGTCAAGCTTTACAACTCCCAGTAGTGGTCCCAGTAGTGAGAAACTGGGGCATAATTCAATACCCACAACTGTTTCAAGCCACAAAACCTGAAACCCAATTTTCTAGCTTACTTCTTAGACTAAAGCGCAGCCCGGTGCATGAAGGCATCCAAGAAAGGCGAGGGTTTGGGGAAGGACCCCACCACAAGGGTAAGGGGCAAGTCTTCCCCTGTCAAATTTTGACAAGAGGCTGCTTCCAAGACTTGAGCCCGTGATCCAGTCACACAGCAACACCTTAAGCTTACTCCTTTGACTATATTTTACAAAATGCATCTACAGCATATGTCATCTAAACAGTCTGCTTTTCAGCAGATATAAGTATTCATCTGTGGTGTATTCATCTGTGGTGTATGTGTATTAGTGTTTCTAGCCAGTAGCCATCAATTTTGAACTCAAATTCCTAGAGTCACATCTCTAACGATTTGTAACTTCCGCCTCTTTCTAAATCCCATCCTTTGCATATGGAAACCTAGATAATGGTCTTACAAAGTTAATATTACACTACTAAAATAAGTTGTTCCTTTTACACCATTTGCCTCATTTTATTTGCCTATAAGTGATCAACCCAGCTCTTTTATGTTCCCTTATTTTCTACAGCAAACTATTATCATACTCAAACTGTTTATTTCCGGTCTAATAGTTTTATAGTAGTTTTAAAATATGTATATTTTTAAAAACTACTACTACACTAATTATTACCGAAAATGAATTGTGACTTAGGCTAATCTTATAATTTGGGACAGTGGGTATTATCTTTACCATTAGGATTAACCTTTATATGTTCATGCTAATCCATTCAAGTTTGAACTGTTAGTAAGATTACTAACTGCTAATTTTGTGTGTAATTTTTTCTGTTGATGTGGTGGTTTCAAGATCACATTATGTGGAAGATGCCTGGAATTAAGCAAGAGCAGCAAGGCCTCCACTACCTAAGTAAGGGATACTTAATTTAAATAACTTGACAGTGACATATGTAATATATATTCTCTAAGTTATGGGGAAAGTAGAAGATATTGGTAACCTTGCCCTAAACCTAGTGATGATGGATTAAGCCCAATTATAATAGATCAGGACAAGTGATTATAGTGTTCCAGTGGTCAACTCATGATACCGGTCTTTAACTGGTAGATTCAATCCACCAAAGTTTTCCTTTCTACTCCAAGGGGTATTTGCTAAATATCATTAAAATACTTATCAAAGAAAGTTCTTTCACAACTCACGAGTTCTGAAAACTCATAGTTCTGGCCTCTTATCTCGCTGAGCCAAACAAGCCAAAGAAGCACTAAGTTGTTCATAGTAGCACTTTTACTTAACCATCCGAGCATATCCGTTGTCAAAGAGCAAAACATTTTGACAGGGGTGTGACCAAATAATCCAAATTTGGAGCAAGGTTCTTTCTATCACCATTCCTATACATAAAAGGGGTAGGGAGAGGGAAACTAAAACGTACCCAGTATCAAGTTCAGAGTATATAAGTATATTGATAGGGATACAGCTAAGTCAAATAAAGAAGACAAATATTTTGAAAGAGTCTATTCTAGAAGGAGTAAAAAGAATATTTAGTTGTTAGTTAAATTCTGTTATTAGCTAATAACTACCTTCAGTTTAGCTGGGGAACTATAAATAGAATAAAGCTGGAAAAGGAATGAAGGCTGTTTGACTGTTTAGTTGGGATTGGGAAGAGTTGAGACTAATAATCTCTTGCTTGGAGCCTTGCTTGTATTCGTTCATCACTAATAAAGTTCTGTGTAGTTCTTTGTTCATCTTCTCTATAATTTTCTGTATACCTGGAGAGTTCTATCAGTGGTATCAGAGCACGTTGATCACTGTTGATGGTCTTGACGCGCGCAAAGATGGAATCGCCAATGAATGACTTGGAGAGGAATCAGCAACAGACTACGGCGTTACTGATGGCAATGCAGGCTACACTCACGAACTTGGAGGAGAGAGCCCAAAGTCGATCGCGAAGCAGGTCACATGCTTCACACGACATGTTGCTAGTCCAAATGGATCGGAAAGCAATTCTGATTATTCGCCCCCCCCCCCCCTTCCCCTCGCAATCGCCATCATCATCAAACTGGAAGAAAGATAGACTTACCTTTATTCAATGGTGATGACGCATATGGTTAGCTGGTCAGGATTGATCGCTATTTCAGACTCAATACCATAGAAGAAGAGAAAATTGAAGTGGCGGTTGTAGCTAGGAGGATAAGGCGCTCAGCTGGTTCCAATGGTGGGAGAATCAAGCGCGTGAGCGGACATGGGAAAAACTGAAGAAGGCTTTGACTCGTCACTTCCAGCCTGAATTAGTTCAAACCCCCTGGGTCCTTTACTGAGTCTGAAACAGAAAGGTACTGTTAAAGAGTACAGGGAGCAGTTTGAATTGGCCATTGCATCTCAAGAAAATCTGGACAGAAAGGTAATGAAGGGCATTTTCTTGAATGGTCTGAAGAAACACATCAGGGCTGAATTAAAGTTGTATAATACCAAAGACCTGGCTGAAATTATGGACAAGGCATTATTAATTGAAAATAAAAATAATGAAATTGTGTCCAGGAAAAATAAGGAAGAAGGAAGAAGATTGTGGAAGAATACTCTGACCAAAGGAAACAGTTATCAAAAATGGGGAGAGGGTGTCAGAAGTAGCAGTAACCTAACCCTAACCCATTGTTTGAATTATCTGAGCAAAGAATTATCTGTTAAACATCAAAACAGATCAGTATATGAGAAAGAATTGATGGCAACTGTATATGCCATCCAGAAATGGAGGTCCTACTTGCTAGGAAGGAAGTTTGAGGTACACACAGATCAAAGAAGCCTAAAATACCTAACTGAAAAGAAGGCCATGGAAGAGGAACAACAAAAAAGGACAGCTAAGTTGATGGGCTATAATTTCACTATCAAATACAAGCCAGGTATTGAGAATAGGTATTGAGAATAGAGCAGTTGATGCTCTTTCTAGAAAACCTACTATGTTTTCCTTATCCATAGTAACCTGTCAAGAGTGGAAGGGATTGGAAGAGGAATTAGAGAAGGATTTCAAGTGTGGAGAAATTATCCAAAAGGTCTTAACCCAATCAGACAGGGTACAGGATTACAAGTTAAAGGGGGGGCTGCTGTATTTCAAAGGGAGGCTGGTATTACCTAAGGGGTCTAGCAGAATAGCTACAATCCTAAAATAATACCATGAATCAGCGGAGGAGGTATTTTAGAACAATGAAAAGGATCTCAAACCTATTTTATTGGTTTGGAATGAGAACTGATATCAAGGAGTATGTTCAAGGATGTGAAATCTGACAGAGGAACAACTATCAAGCATTGAAACCTGCAGGTTTGTTACAACCATTACCTATTCCTGATCATATCTGGACTGACATTAGTATGGACTTTATTGGGGGATTACCTAAAGTCTATGGGCAAGGATACTATTTTGGTGGTGGTTGGTAGGCTGACAAAGTTTGCACACTTTCTGCCTTTAGCTCATCCTTACAATGCTAAAGGAGTTGTTGAGCTATTTATACAAGAAGTGGTGAAGATACATGGATTCCCGTAGTCCATTGTTGGTGACAAAGATAGCCTATTTTTGAGTACTTATCTGAATTGTTTAAATCAGCAGGTACTCGATTGAAATACAGTACTGCCTACCATCCCCAGAGTGATGGGCAGACTGAGGTTGTAAATAGGTGCTTGGAGGCCTATTTGAGATGTATGACTGCCAGGAAACCCAGACAATGGGTTAGGTGGTTACCCTGGGCGGAGTTTTGGTATAATACCAATTATCATATTTCTCTACAAAATACACCTTATCAAGCCCTATTTGGTCAAGAGCCTCCTGTAATAATCAGAGGGGATGTCAGTTTGTCTTATGTGGCTGAAGTATCAAGGTTAATTGCTGAGAGGAATGAGGTTCTCAAGGAATTAAAAGAACATCTAGCTAAGGCTCAGAACCAAATAAGGCAGCAAGCTGATAAACATAGAAGAGAAGTAAAACTAGAGGTAAGGCAGCAAGCTGATAAACATAGAAGAGAAGTAAAACTAGAGGTTGGAGACAAGGTATTTTTGAAGATACAGCCTTACAAAATGAAGAGTCTAGCCAAGAGAATTAATCAAAAACTAAACCCCGAATTGTATGGCCCTTATGAGATCATAGAGAAGATAAATCTTGTGGCTTTCATGCTTAAATTACAGTGGATAGTCAGATTCATCCTGTTTTTCATATATCCCTCTTAAAAAAGGTGCTGACACCTACAACTACCTATCAAGATCTTCCTAAATGTCTGACTGAAGAAGGTGATTTGTTGGTGATGCCTGCGGAGGTGAAGGATGTCAGATTCAATCCTAAAGGGGAAACAGAAGTCCTAGTGCATTGGAAGGATCTACTGGATTTTGAAGATTCTTGGGAAAAAGAGCAAGTAATCAAGGAACGGTTCCCAGCATTCCAACTTGAGGACAAGTTGGGTTCTCAAAGGGGGAGTATTGATAGGGATAAAGCTAAGCCGAATAAAGAAGACAAATATTTTGGAAGAATCTATTCTAGAAGGAGTAAATAGAATAGTTAGTTGTTACTTAAATTCTGTTATTAGCTAATAACTACCTTCGGTTTAGCTGGGGAACTATAAATAGAATAAAGGTGGGAAAGGAAAGTAGGTTGTTTGACTGTTTAGTTGGAATTGGGAAGAATTGAGACTCAATCTCTTTCTTTGGGACCTTGCTTGTATTCGTTCATCACTAATAAAGTTCTGTGTAAGTGTGTAGTTCTTGAATTTTTGTTCATCTTCTCTATAATGTTCTGTATACCTGGAGAGTTCTATCACATATTCACTTATACTAGTATGTTATACCATCTCCGTCTCTTTAAAAAAACATTGACCGGGCACAAAAAACTGAAGAGTAAAAATTGTCTGATTGAGATTTATTAATAAGGAGAGTTGATATCAGCCACATATTTCCAAAAGATAAAATGGGTGATAATTTTAGGAAGGAAGAAAAGGGGAGTGTGAAGACTATTTAGGGACAGATGCAGTAATGGATAAAACATGCACCAATTCAGAATTCATTCAATTAATTGCATTCATCAATGCAAAATACAAAACTTTAATAGCACTAGACCCATGTGTAGGTTTATATAGCTTATACTAGGAAACTCACCATTGGAACCACTATTCTATCAAGGCCAGATTGTGCCAAAAATGTGTAAGATAAAAGCCCAATGCTTCGTGTCACTTTTCTGATGCAAGTAGATGGAATAAAAATATCAGTGTGTTTGAACAGACTATCAAAGAACGAGCATAAGTTATGTAAATAAAGACAGCCTTCTACAATCCCCCACCCCCTCCTGCCAAAGAAAGACGCAAATATATAATTATTCAGAGATAGGTTTTGTGGCAACAAATTGGGAAGAGGTGAGCATGAATAGCACTAGTTTCCCATTTCTGTACTTTGCATATGTTGATATATCTGGCCTGAAATTTTTAGATTCTGAAAGTTCAAAATTGGTAAACAAATTCTCCTGCTTAGAAAAGGTCATATAGTTATATCTACTCGTCAAATATTTGCTGCTATTTAGGAAAGGAAACTGATACTGTAAAAGTATACTAGTGCCTCAGATAGATCAGAAAGAATTCACTCCTAAAGACCATAGCTTAGCTAAACAGAAAATTATATATGTTGATACAGTAAATCAAGATTATATGACAAAAAACAATGATGATCACTGGGAAAAATTGTCTCATTATAAGATTATTAAAAGCAAAACTTTACCAGACACCCCAGAAAGGCAAATATGAGCATGTGATATACAGCTAACTGAAGCTAATGAGTGTATAATATGAACACCCCATTATAAGTATGATTGCTGAACCGAAGACAGCTTTTATGACTTTAAATGATATACACCCAATTATTCCAGACCAGACCAAGGAAATATGATGATGAAGATAAAAGTGTCTCAAACCTTTTCCTTGAGCGGCTGAAGACAATAACATCTGCTCCAAGTCTCATTGAACTCGTCTTAAAACCATTTCCATCTAAAAGATGGAAAGTCAGCATTTTAAATGTGATTAAATAAGAATAGTTAATGTCATGTGACAGGATGCATACACTGTCCAATTGCTGACTTTGACTTCTTATCTGAAAATCCGAAACTCATACAATGACGCATTGCTTCAGGGTCCATTCCACCCCCATCATCTATGTCCAGTTTAGCAAAGCATACGATTTCAGGACTAGAATTGTATCAAAACCAGAATACAAGTAAATTTAATTGTAGAATACCTTGAATTAACAAAGCAGATCTTCCATCCCTTGGATTTACTATTTTATCTACTACAACAAAGGTGCCCCCATTTTGTATCTACTCAGAAGATATGAAACATGGGAGCAAAGTATTATTAAAAAAGTTACTCAGAGCATTGATAAATTAAATCAAACTAAGATCTGTTTTCCAGGTTTGAGTATAGAAGACTCTTTGGACCAAAAGAAGTCTAAGTGACAGCTTCACATCTAAACAACCCCCCCCCCCTCCCCCTCCCCGGTTCCTAGATATCTGCTGCGACAGAGATTCATTATGTTGCAAATCATTTAAAACAAAATGGCTATATAAACGGTGCAAAAAGTATGAATTTCAATAAGCTGCTCCTTTTATGTTTACTGGGTTAAAAACTTACAATAAGTACAGGAATATAGTAACATGGCTATTTTTTATGAGGGGTAAAAGAGCATGTACAAAAACAAGTCTGAGTTGATAAAAGTAGTGCAAAGCTATCGGCCAACGTTAAAAGGTGCATTTCTTTTTTAAGACAGGCATTACTTGTCAAATGAAAAATAATAAATAATTAATTAAATACTTAGTCATTTTAAAGGAGTTACTAAACCTGCCTACTGGGAAAACCGAAAAAGTGGGAAAAACGCAATTTAACTACGTTAGATATTTAAATTGAGACATTGAGGAAGCTTCTATAGCATAGTTTTTATGCTTCAAGGCAATTATCATACTATATATACCATCATCACCGCCTTCAACCTAATTGTCTTTGATGGGTGATAAATAACATGAAATTTATTTTGTAATAAATTGTTTGAGATTGGGTTACTCTATAATGAGACGAAAGACACAAAATAATCATCATCATTAATGAAGAACATCCGCTGTAAAACCAACTACTCACAGAGAAGACCTAAACAGTGTGGATGTAAAGGAAGATTGCATCAAATTTCGTTGTGATTGAATTATGCCGACTAGACTGCATTATTGTATATTTGCATGGCGTATAAGATGAATGTGGTCGAAGCATGTGCATGTTTTGCTAGATGTGTGGACATACTAGAAAAGACCTCTTGAGGAGTGAGACATGCAGCCAAAAAATGGGAGTAAAACCTATTGAAGATAAGATGAGAGAATCTCAAATGTGGTGGTTTGGCTATGTTTGTAGAAGATCGAGTGATGTACCTGTGAGACAAATGGAGAGGTGGGGAGAGGAGGCGGGGAGGAGATGGAAAGGCCAACCTAGACAGGTGTGGATTAGAATGGTGAAGAATGATATTGTACTTCTTGGATTAGGTGAGTGTACTTTGGAGAGAGCGAAGTAGAGGGAGATGTACATGTGGATGATCTGATTTTATTTGTCTCCCCCTTTCTTTCAATTTAACATTATTATTAGTATTTATTATTTTTTACTCTAATATCATATGTTGATTCATGTTAGCCGACCCCAAACTCTTTTGAGTTTTGAGATTAAGGCTTAGATGTTGGGGTTGAATCATATACCAAAGTTCCTTGTTCATTGTTATTCCATCCATCCAGTGTAGTCAAAGTCGAGCGCATGGGCACTTAAGCGCACTAGGCGCAGCGCACACAAGCCCTGGCGCTTCAAGAACGGTCAGGCTCGCCGCACCCCCCCCCCCCCCGTATAAGGCGCAGCTTAGGTGCAAAAGCACTGAAGCGCTGCAGCGATAAAAGGCGCTCGCTAATCGCGACTGACAGGGGGGACACGTTTATTTTAAGTTTGATGATACAGTTCAGACGTGTGCTCAAATAAGAAGCCCATATTTTTAATAAGGCTAAGGGAAAAGGGGCAAATAAGCCCTCGAACTAATCAAAAAAGTGCAAATAAGCCCTTTTGTAGGAGGTTCTGTCCGATCATCGTCATTTGGGGAGGTTCTCGGTGGAATTTTTTGATGAATTTTTTTGAACATCTTCTTCATTAAGTCTAGTTTAGCCATACCGAATTTCAGCTATAAATTCAACCGGGAAGGCACTCAAATGATTTTCGGAAATATACTGCGTTGTTTAACTGCGCAGTTATCTTCAAAAATTCATTTGACTGTCTTCCCGGTTGAATTTTTAGCTGAAATTCAGTAGGACTAAACTAGACTTAATGAATTAGATGCTCAAAAAATTTCATCAAAAAATTCCACCGTGAACCTCCCCAAAATGACGATGACCGGACGGAACCTCCTACAAAAGGGCTTATTTGCACTTTTTTTATTAGTTCGAGGGCTTATTTGCCCCTTTTCTCTAAGGCTAAAGGGTCAAATAGGCCCCTGTTCCTGTTCGGAATGCTCAATTCGCACCCCGAACTCAAATAAGCTCCAATTCACCCCCTGAACTTGCTAAAAAAGTTCAAATCTCATTTTTTGAAGGTAAATTTCCGGTCATCGCCATGTCAGCCGGTTAGATGCCAACCGCTCATCCCACGTGGAAATCTAAGGGGTCAAATAGACCCCTGAACCCGACAAAGTTGTTCAATTTACACCCTCAACCGTTGAAAAGTGTCCAAATTGCTATTAAAAATATGAAATTTCTATTAAAAAAAGAGAAAAAATAAAATAAAATGATATACAAGTTCATAATATAAAACATAGATGTCTATTTATAATAAGACAATTTTTATATTTTAGGGTAAATTAAATATATATATATAAACATAATGAAGGTACTTACTTTTTAAATACATATTATAAAAATGTAGTAGTCCCTAGCTATTTACATATTATAATTTTTATATAGTACAAAATTTTTATGTTAAATATAATTAGTATGAAGTATAGTACGCAGTATATGATTCTAGAATAAAATAATATGAAGTTTATATACATATATGCATGTGTGCATGTGTGTGTGTAACATTACATAGAAATCTAAAACATATTAAAAATATGAAAATAGTTTTAATGAATTTCGTTTAAATTATTTTATATGAATTTACTGTAAATATAAATATATCCTTATTTTTTGCGGTAAATTCTCATTTTTTTAAATCCATTTAAAAAAAATCAACCATACATTTTTTATAAATTAATATTAATTTTTTTTAATATTTTGTCATATTATAAATAGACTCCTAAATATTGAAAAATATTAAATTTACCCTAAAATATAAATATTTTATCGTCATATTATAAATAGACTCATATATTTTATATTATGAACTTGTATATTAATTATATTTATATTTTTTATTTTTTAATGACAATTTGGACACTTTTTAACGGTTGGGGGGTAAATTGAACAACTTTGTCGGGTTCAGGGGTCTATTTGACCCTTTAGATTTCCACGTGGGATGCACGGTTGGCATCTAACCGGCTGACGTGGCAATGACCAGAAACTCACCTGCAAAAAATGGGATTTGAACTTTTTTGGCGAGTTCAGGGGGTGAATTGGAGCTTTTTTGAGTTCGGGGTGCGAATTGAGCAATCCGAACAGGTACAGGGGCCTATTTGACCCTTTAGCCTTTTAATAAAGCCCGTCTAGATAAGGTCAAAACAACATAAACCCATGCTAAACAACACAATGTAAACCTGTTCTGCTCTGCTCTACTCAAGTTACCTGTTTGCTACCTCCTCCTGTCCTCCACATCAACCGCAGAAGCTGGCAGCAGTAAGCTTTCTTCTCCTTCATCGTTCCATTTTCTTTCTTTTTTCTTTTTTCAGTATTTACTTCTTCTTATATACTCTATACAACTTAAAAATATATATGTAAACTACCAGTATAATGGTCTAACATGTGCAACACTCTTCATTTTGCCATATTCTTTCTACTTCATTTTTTCAGCATCCTTCTTATATAGTCTATACTCTATTACTCTAGAAAACTAAAATCTAATTATGTTTTATTTTTCAGTTTTAAAGTTAAAGACTTTAAGTTATGAATTCTGAATTTGGTTGTTTTGCTTTTGTGAATCATGACTTTATTTTGGTTAATCAGATTAGTGAGCAATAATCCAAGGCATTAAACATCAGAAGTGTAAACTACTTGCCTAAATCCTAGAGAGAGAAAGCAAGACAGGCTGACAGTCAGAGGCTAACCTCATCAATAGCATTGTCAAGCAGCTCTGCAATGGCTGCAGACATGAGAAAACAAGTGGGAATGGTGTTCTGTATTCCATTTAAAAAGATAAACAATGTGTGTATATTTGGAAGAGAATTTACACACCGCCAAATGCCCATTTGTGTGATGTAGCATTTGAATGTAGGAACTTTGGATGGATGTGCAAGTAACTGGTACCATCTGCAACAGAAATTAAACTAGTCAGATAATATGTGAGTATGTGATAGTATAAACAAGTAAACCATAACTAGTGTGTAGTATGAAGTTAGAGACACAGTGAACTGCAGCCAAACTTATGAAACAAATGGTATGCTTGGATCCTAGAAAATACAATGCATAAAAGAAAGAAAAGTGCTAAAGAAAGTTTTTTTCTAATGTTATGGTTTTATATCTGAATTCTGAAATGCAAAGTAAAATAATACTCCGTATATGACAAAATCATTTTTTTACATTTTACATGTTTAGATTTCTTCGTCGATAGTTGTATACAATAGGAATCAATTAATGAATTGATAGAGTCAAGTGAACTATTTTTGGACCGCATAAAGTAAGGCTACGCCTAAGCCAAATTTTAGAACTGGGGTATACAATTGTAACCACTACATATGTGGTCATTGAATTATAATATGAAACTCAAATTAGTGAGCAATAATCCAAGGCATTTTCAGAAATTAGAGCTTTATATGTTTTCACAATTAGAAAAGATTTTGTTGTTTATAGGTAAGGTACTTTTATGGGTAGGCTTCGAATTAAGTCCCCCGTCATAGTTTCCAGCTTTCCAAAACTGCCGAACAAGAGGTGCTGAGCATATCGGAGATATGGAACAGAGGCTTGAATCATCTATAGCAGACTGTTCTTGACATAAACCGCTTCCACTACCCTGTCTGGTGTAAATAGCCCCAGAGGTTTGGTTCTCTCTAGAGCTCACTTTGGATAGCATTATGTCATTTCTTAAATCATCCTTCTGTGACATTGACCTTCCAGCAAAACCTGGCTCCAGTTTAACAGTTTTTGTATACCTTTCGAGATCTTCACCTCTACATGAGTCAACGATGTTTGTTGAGCTCATATTGAGCCTGAAAATAAATTAAAATTGGGAAAATCAGTATCACCTTTTAAGTTCCAGCCAAACTAGTTAAGATAGGTTACCAATAGTTCAAAATAATAGGACCAAGCATAACTTATGAAGACTGTAGAGGACAGAAACAGAGCAACGAACTGTATTTTAGCTAAGGTATTAAGCTTCTATAGTATAATAACAATTAGGAGATGTGCAATTGCAAATCATATAATAATAAGCATTGGTGTATATTTAATCAATAAATTCACTGTTAAATTAATAAGATTATTTCTTTAAGAAATACACACTAAAAGAAATAAAGAACGTATTAAGAGGTCCAGTAAACTGTCTAATAAAATAAATGAACAAAGGTCACACACTTCAACAACACATTACAATTCACACATACAAAATATTAAAATATACTCCCTCCGTCCCCTTTTAAATGTACACAAAGAATAAAGTAAGAATAAAGTAAGAATGAATTTGAGACAGAGACAATTAAATAGGCACATCCAATGGTAAAATGGGACATTTAAAAGGGGACGGAGTATTAAACAAAAGATAACATTACCTTCTCACAAACGACTTTAGTCTTCAACTCTTCACCAAAATGTGTAGCAGAGAGCACCCATGTCTTCTATTTTCCGGCTTCCAGAGATGGTCAGCGGTCCAGCACGGCACCCGCGGGTGGCGGCTGAATTTCAAATCATCAGTCTTCCTCAATTCCTCCTCCTGACCTCTTCGATTTTTCGGTTGAGCTGCTGAGTGAATTGAACGGTTAAAATAACCTAAGGAGTAAGGTTGTAAGGACGTAATGTTTGTTCAATTATTTTAAAATTGAGAAAATGGAATGTCGTTTGTTGAATAACTGCCCGTCGTTTCACTTTTAGTTCGCTGCTTCGTACTTCGTCTCAGCGGCACCAGCGAGCAAAAAGACAGGGGCGTCGGGCACCGGTTGACTGAGAAGGTAAAAGGCTTAAGCGGTGCCTGCCAAAAATTACCTATACATACCTTAACGAATCCGTCAAAGGGGTGGCGCAGACGCCTGCTCTCCCTTGTATGCCGGAATTCGACAGACACGCACCAAGGGGTTAGGCCAGAATACGACGAGCAAACACCAAGGTGTTCAGAAGAGAAGTGAAGCGGAGTATGGAGTGCAGTATTTTCAGGCACACTGTAGTTGTAGTTTGGATGAATGATCCGGCAATGATGATACTGCGACAAGATAGAAGCCTCGACGCATTAAAAACGTGGTAGCCAGATACCCAGATCCGTTTGAGAGAGGAGCTTGTTTTCTCAGCTTTACTGCCATATCTAGGGTTCTGTAATTGTATGGGATGTAATTATTTTAAGGTTGTTTTAATTGTTTAATGTAGATTGTAGGACACTTTTTTAAAAAATATTTTAGGGGTTAGGTCATGGATATTAGTAATTAAAAGGATTTGGACAACTATAAGAGCATCTCCAATGGTACAATGTGCACGATGCACATGTGGCATAAGAGATAACCACATAAATATTAGTAAATAAATTCTTTCTCTCCTTATTTAAATGATTTTATACAGTATTGGTAAGTTTTTCTCCACAATGTCAAGGAGACCGTCTAGATGTTGACATTGTTGTTGACATTGCAGAGAAAAACTTACCAAAAATGAATAAAATCATTCAAATAAGGAGAGAGATAATTTATTTGCTAATATTTATGTGGCTATCAATCATGCCACATGTGCACCGTGCACATTATAGCATTAGAGATGCTCTAAGACTTCTTTTAATAATTTCCTAAAAAGAGACCACCGGCTAGTTGCATTTAAAAAATTCGGCTGATAATGCCGCATATACCCCTTCGGCCCTTAATCACTACGCATCATTGATCAAATTAGATATGGCTGCTTGCCATTTCCAACTTTTGAAGATTTAAAGCAAGGACCAATAAAAAAGATTTTGACTTTTAGTTTCTAATAATTACCTTGTCACAATTTACGATTAAATATTCTACGAATTACACTTACTTACCAATTGCATTTACTTGATTCAACCGGTTACAGTTACATACTCAACCAGTTACAATTAATCAATCCAATCAATTACATTTATCCGATCAATTACGATTACCCGAACCTACCAGTTATAGTTACATATTCCGCTCATTTATAGTTACATAACTCGTTCATTTATGACCCGTCCAGTTACATTTGCTCTATCCGTCCAGTTACAGTTACCCGACCGTCCAGTTACAATTACTCGATTCGTTTAGTTAACCTTTACACAACTTGTCCAGTTACAATTACTTGACCCACTCAGTTACAGTTACATGATTCGTTCAGTTACAATTACCCGACTCGTTCAGTTACCCGACCCCATCCAGTTACAATTACTCGGCTCAGTCAGTTACAGTTACTCGATCCATCCCATTACAATTACCCGATCCGTCCAGTTACAATTACCCGATCCGTCCAGTTACAATTACCCGATCTGTCCAGTTACAATTACCGACATGACCAATTACCCGACTCAATTAGTTATGTTTATCCCGGTTCAATCATTTATTCGTTTACAATTACCCAACCAATTAATTACAATTACCCAACCGATTAATTATCTTACCCGATCAGTTATAGTTACCCGAACCGATTAATTACAATTCCCCGATCCGATAGCGACTGCGCCGCTGCCGGCCACTTTTGCCAGTGAACCGACAGCGCTCCACCCCTCTCCGGCAGCCGGAATATCCAGTCAGCTCCAGCCCCACTACAACCCTTCTCTAGCCTTCCCCAACCCCCTGTCACCGCAAGTCGCCGGCCGCCAACCACCGCCGGCCCCTGGACACCGCTGCTGTCCATCACCGCCCCTCCCCACCCCCGTTCAAAGTTCAAATCATAGATCTAAAGGAGCCTCCAGCCGTGAAGAAGACGATGACGACTTTTCCGAGATCTAAAGGCGAAGAAGAAGATAGGGAAGACTTTTCCGAGATCTAAAAGTGAAGAAGAAGACGGTGAAGATGAAATATTCACCGCCGCCATTATCGTCACCGTAGAGCTCCGTCGCCATCTTCCAGATCTCCGTCGCCATCTTCCAGAGCTCTACCATCATCGTCGTCGTTGCTGAATTTGGACTTCATCTTCGAAGAAGGAAGATTGATGCGGCGCGGATCTCCAGATTTGTCAAATGCTTCGAAGAAGATGGGTAGCCGGCAATTGGAAGTTAGGTTTCAGGATATTTGAGTCATTTCTTATTAATTTACTCCCTTTTTTGTCCTGAACGAAAACTCATCCCATTTCTGTCTAATCAAAACCCGAGAGTCCTACTTTTGCCATTTTTTCAACATTTTATCTTGAACCTAAAATGTAAAATATTTTACGTGAAGAGAAGGTAGTAAACTGGTTTACCTCCGTTAATAAGGCTTAATAACTACGATACTACATCTAATTACATAACAATTGAACGTAGCCGGCCTTTGAAGAGTGTGACGGCAAGCAAAATTCTTTCCGGCAAGAGAATCACATCATCAAATCTCTTTCTCCATATGAATTGCTTCGCGTCTACACCCGTCGTTCCAACAGAAAAGTTTCTGCACAATTTATTCTCCACACATATATTTGAAGATTTGATATTTTGATTTAAGTTATTAGTTCAATTTTGATGCTAGATTCGCAGATGACAGGCGTCATTTAGTTTTTTACTAGTCTAGGCTCTTCTATTTATTACTCCGTATTAGGTAGAACTTTAGAAAGCTTCGTTGAAATCCTGTTCCAGAGCTCAATTATCTGGTAGTAATTGAAATCCTGTTTTTTTATGCCTTCTAGCCAGATCGGCACTTGGGTTTTTAATTTTTTGTGATTGTGATAATTTAGCAGTTTTAATTTGTGTAATTTAAAGACAGATTACATAGATAGCCAAATCATGTATTTATAGTTTACATGCACAGGATTATTCTTGTCCGGAAATTTCCGGACAGGAGCCCCGTCCGGCTCCTCCATTTGGGGGCCTTCCCGGTGGTATTTGTTGCTCAAATTTTTTGTATATGTTACTCATCAAGTCTAGTTCATCCACAAAAAAATAGAGCAAAAAATATCACCGGGAAGGCCCCCAAATGGAGGAGGCCGGACGGCACTCTGGTCAGGAAATTCCTGACCGGAAGATTACTCTTACATGCAAACTAGTTACAGCCCTACACTTTACATGCAATCATTTTGCATGCAATGTTTTAATGTGTAAACTACCAAACGGGCCCTAAGGGAAAAGTAGTAACTTAAAAAGTGCAAATCACCCCTTTTATATGAGACTCTTTTTATAAGAGACTTTGTCCGGCCGTCGCCATTTGGAGAAGTTTCCGATGTAATTTTTGATAATAAAAATTTGAGCATCTTCTTCATTAAGTCTAGTTACTCATACAAAATTTCAGATAAAAAATCAACCGGGAGGCAGTCAAATGATTTTTGGAAATATATTGTGATGTTTAACTGCGCAGTTATCTTCAAATATTCATTTGACTGCCTTCCCAGTTGAATTTTTAGCTGAAATTTGGTATGGGTAAACTAGACTTAACGAAGAAGATACTTGAAACATTTCATCAAAAAATTACACCGGGAACCACCCCAAATGGCGACGGCCGGACATAATCTCCTATATGAGGAGTGATTGCACTTTTTAAGTTAGTTCGAGGGCTGATTTGCTACTTTTCCCTTTTTTCAATAATGCCCAAAATATTTTCCAATCTTACTTATTTTAATTTTATATAATTCAACGCGTGAAATCAAAAGTTGTATGTTTACAAAAAGTTGTTTCATAAGATTGATAAGCCGAAAAAACAGGATCACCAAAGAGGCTCTTAATAACAATATTCTCCTTACTTAATAAAACAAATAAGAATCTAATAATAATAATAATAATAATAAATCATGTTTGGATTTTTCTAATCAGGTATGAATCTTTCTGATATGGTATGGTTTTTCTGATGTGAGAAGAATTTTTCTGATTTGATATGATCTAATCCAAGGGGGGAGACGTGCTTTTAGTATAGCGGTAAGTGCAACGATCCACACTTCACTCCTTTTTAAAAAATGGGAGATTAAGAAAATCACACCATTTTTAGGGTGATATTTGACTTTGCGCCCTATTTTCAAAACTATTAATGTATGCAAGCCAATTTGATCCACACTTAAGGTGCATACTATATATGTGACACCTCATCCGGACGCACTTGAATTTGAAATTTGATATATATTTGAATTTCCTAACGAATAAATTCGTGTAACTGATTGATATATTTAATTGATGTGTGATTAATTAAATTATTTATGGAACCCATAATAATGAGAATGGGCTATCAAATATTTAGTTGGGTCATCGTAATAGTTATAGAAGTTCAATAAAGTGCCAACTAAAGTTGATAAAAATATTTGGGCAAACCGAGTGCTATTTTGGCCCAACCTGCCAAAAATAGCGGGAATAGTTGGGAGGGACTTCCTACACCCACTTGGGGCGTTTCTGTATGAGTTGTACACACCAAATAATGGAACTGATGCCAACAATGAGGGAGGGGGCGGACATGACAAGGGAAGAAGTCTCATTGAGTCAAAAGTCACAACCCACATGACCCCATTTGATTGTATAATTGGGAGGGAGTGAGGTGAGATGTCTCCCCTATCATCTTAGCATCATTCGGACCACTCAAGCAGAGGAAAAACTCTATGAAATAGCTCTTACAACAGCCATAGCTAGGATAAGGCAAGAAGAAAGCTATGAGTGAGGTAAGGGCCTTTAACTGGTTTATTGTTGTATGACTTTTTAAGAAACCATATGGTGGATTAGACATGAAGTTCTACACGTTTAAAAGTGTAGAATATTGTTAGAGAATTTACCCAAAATAGAACTAAAAAGGTTTGGAAATTCCAAAATAGGACTGACATGTTTTTATTTCCAAAATAGGACTAATTACTGCCATGTTTTGACAGTACCAGACTTCAAACATGGCAGTATTTTCCAAACTTGGCAGTAATTACTTCTTTTTTGGGAATAAAAAACATGACAGTCATATTTTGGAATTTTCAAACTGTTTTAGTCCTATTTCGGGAACTTTCTCATATTGTTATAAAGTGATGACATTTAACTTAGAAGAGTCGTGGAATCGATAGGAGTTGAAACCGCCACTTAAAGGGAGTTGTTCGTAGTTGCAGACCACGAAAGCCGCCCACCTTTTGCAAAAGTCAGTCGGCTTTCGTCTGTTGTCCAGAACATTCATCTCCAATCGGTTTAGAACGGGGATTGATCGAAGGGCTTAACAAAGGCAACTATTTCAACACTTCATAATAGAGCTGTCAAACGGGCC